ACGCGCGACTGCTTGGCCGCGACTCGCCCCGCAGACTGACTATGGCGCCGATGGCGTCCGTAGCCTCTCCCTTGCCGCCGAGGACCATCACCCACATGTAGCGGAGAGGAGGTCGTCGACGAAAGCGGCGAGGAAGTAGCGTCGTTCTCCCGGTGTGGCGGTGTCACCGGGCCACACAAGTCCCCGTGCACAAGCTCGAGCCTCTCCTTGGCTCGAAAGCTCGCCCATTGGGAAAGGGGAGTCGCCGCGCGCCGTCAACACGCAGACGTCGCAGAGCCGCTCCACATGGTCGAGGCGCAGCGCAGCCTCGCACCATCTCCGGTAATAATCGAGCCGCTTCAGGCCTCAAAGTGAAGGTGCTCAACGCTCGTGTTATCGCCACGCGCCTCGTCGTCCCGACGAGCAGCGAGACAGAGGGGTTGTGTTATCTGCACGTTGAGGACGTAGAGTCGATTTGCGCTTCTAGTTACCTTGGCAAGACGACGACGACGGCGATCCCAAATCCTCATGACTCCATCCTCAACCACCACGCGCGAACCGTTCTCATCCAGCTGTCCCAAGCTGATGATGGAGTTCCTCAACGCGGGGATGTAGTAGACTCGGTGAGCGTACTGTGCTCACCAGACATGCATGGTGAAGATGACGGAGCCAACGCCCTTGATCTCCACGGCGGAGGCATCCCCAAACTTGACGGAGCCTCGGACGCTAGAGTCAAGCTCGGTGAAGAACTCCCATCGACCGGTCATGTGATGGGTGGCGCCGGTGTCGAGGCACCACCCGTCGATCTTCTTCTTCTTGGGGCTGCCGCCGAGGAGGGCGTGTGCTTTTGGCTCGTCAAGGTGGAGGAGAGCCACGCGGGGCGGTGCGGAGGTAGCTTCGATGCTTGCATGTGCCATGAACAAAGCCGGCTCCTCCTTTGTCAGGCGACGTGGGCCTAGCGCGTCGTGGTTGTCGGCGATCCCTGGCCCAATGGCTAAGGCGGCGCGATTATGCAGCGGCGCCGCCTCGCGTCGGCCAGGCTTGCACTGCCGTGGCGGCGCCGCCTGGCGCCTCCGCGGGCATCACCCTCAAGACGTCTCTCGCGCCCGACACAGGCGTCTCTGCGTGGCTTGCCACGCTATGCGATCGCTTGTTGTCGCGGAAGAAGGCTCCCCTTCTTCCGGCCACCTTGGTCGGCAAGCCACCGCTTCCCGAGTGAGAAGGAGCTTTCCGCCAGTGGTGATGGGCCCAGAGAGAGGCGTGGCTCATCATCGTCGACGACCTTGAGGCGACCTATCGCCTCCTCGATCGACATCATGGAGAGATCCAGCAGGACTCGATCGAGCGAGCCATTTGCTTGTACTTCTCGGGACGCAGCGAAAAAGCTTTTTGGCTCTCTCTCCTCGCCAGAGGTGTCATCGCCGAATCGCATCATCTTCTCGCAACAGTGTTGAGACGGAGAGCAAAGTCATCAACGCCCCGACCGGCTTGAAGGCGTGTTCTCCCACTCTGCGCGGCGCTCGCAGTGTGGACTTGCGGGCTGATCATCGCTGCGCGCGCGCCGCAGGCGATAGCGTCCCAAGCCTCCTTGGCGATCCGCTTGTTGGTAAGCGCGAAGCGCATCTCGCAAGGGATCTGCGGCGATGAGGGCATCGGCGCCCGTCGATCTAGGTCGTAGTCGCCGTCGCCGTGTCGGATCGCCTCCCACATGCGCCGCGACTGGAGCTTTATCCTCATCACCGCAGCCCACTCGGCGTAGTTGGTCTTGGTGAGGTAGGCCACCCACCGCCGGGACCGACGTCCCACGACACAACTGGGCCGTGGTAACCACGGTACCGATCCGGGAGAGAGCCCCCGCGCGCTGTGAAGAAGGCGCTCTCCATCGACCCGTCGGTACCGATCCGGGGGAGAGAGAGCCACGCCGCGCTGTGAAGGCGCGCGCTCTCCATCGACCCGCCCGCCACCGTTGCGTTTTGCGCGCCTCCTCCAGAGTGCCACCACGCGCGCCTGCTCGAGCGCGCGGCGCGTCGCGCTGTCCAGAACGCCGCCACGCTTGTGGATGTCGCGCTTATTCGAGCGCCGCCGCCGCCACGCCTCCTCGGGCGCGTGCGCGCGCGCCTATCTGGGCTGCCGCCACGCTTCGTGGCGTGCGCGCGCGCTTGCCTAGCAGCTTTCAAGCCTCCGCCTCCCTCTCTAGCAGCTCAAGGTCCGCGTCGGCGTGTCGTCGCCGAAATGGAGCTACCGATCTTTCGCCAGACGAGCCTCGACCTCCGCTGCCGCGCCGTTGCATTATTCGTCGCCGCATCGCCGCCGCCGCCTCCGCCTCCGCTGTTGCCGTTGCCCGCCATTATTGCCTCGACCCTCGACGCTTGCCGCGGCAGCGGTCTCTGCCGCCGCCGCTCGCTCGCGTTCTCTCTGTCGCGGCAAGTTCGCCTCTCGCCGACGCCACGGCGTGCTCGAGGCGACCGAAGGCCGAGATCGCCTCATGGGACATGACGCGCTACACAGGGGCTGCATTGCGTGGGGAGAGGGCTGCTTCAGAGAGGAGCTTTGCGTTCGTCGAGCAGATGGGGGAGGGTGGCGAGAGCGGCCGGAGCTCTGCTCGCCGCCGCATGGTGGGGCTGTTTGTGTGGTGGGAAGGAGATAAGCAGGAGATGCTCAGGCTACAGGATAGTACGGCTCTGATACCAGTTGTTAGTCGTTGAACTTTTACTCTCGGTAGTAGCAGAATTCTTACTCTCATCGAGAGAGGATGATACTAGGAGTTGGGGCAATTTTCTGGTTTATTTCTCACACAAACTCACACAAATGCCATGCCAACTTGAGGGGTTGGGGATATATATTTATAGGCTGCTAGCCAGCCAAGCATATGCCAAGATGCTAGTCTAAGATGCTAGTCTAAGATACTAATATGCTGTCCTCTAAGATGCTGTCCTAGAGTCTAAGATGCTAGTCCTATATGCTGTCCTAGATGCTGTCCTTCAGTCAAGGATGCTGTCCTTGATAACCACCATGCAGCAGCCTCACAAAGACTTATCCATCAGTTGGAACTTGATTGATATGTTAATAGTTACTCCATCACCATATTGTAGTGTTAGTTTGTGACATATACATAAAAGCATGCTGATCACGCTATTCCTTTTCCCAACTGAATGGGGGAAACTGTGAACAAGCAAGGATTGTTTTTATACAAGTTTTCCTAGTTGGCAAGTTACAATTAAAATAAACCCCTACATGTTATTATTATTGTTGCAATATATATACATGTTATGGCAAACTGCCATGTCTGACATGCGTGTTGGAGTCCGTGCATCATATCTTACTATTTGTTAGACCTTATTGAATGACATTTCTACAAGAGGTGGAAAGTCAGTCTCTGGAGATTTCTAGCTTAAGAATACTGGTCTTATAATGAATGTAGGCAGTCATTTTTCCTTTTACCTTGAAACTTTGTATACTGTATTTTTTTATTAAAGCTTTAATTCCACTCGATAGGAAAGATGAAAGTGTTTTCTCGGACCCAATCTACAACGTTTCTGTTCTTTTTGGGAAGAGAGATGAGGCAAGCTCATTAAACCATCTCTCATCAAACTTTATATGAACATGCACAGACTAATGACTGTACCAAATTTTATGACTGCAGCCACTCCTACTAGCTTGTGCACGTCAACTTATTGAGCACATAAGGTTGCTTCCTACACCATCTACTTCTGCTGTCTGGTCTCTCTCCACATCTTCTAACAATATTTTTCATATGTCACTTTACTTGTAATGGCAAACTGCACACAATTTCTGGCAATATGCTGTGGGCCGGACCGTATCTGTACCCTTCTATCAGTAGAAGTAGCAATAACTATTTGAAAATATAGTCAGCAGCAAGAAACTCCTCTTTGGTACTGTTTTTTTTTTTTTGACATCTATGCAAATATTCCCTAGCAATGGCTCTTTGATTATAAATTGTTAGTCTGTGTTCAACTAACTTCGGTGCTTCTATTATATAACAACATTTAATTAGTAATATTTCTAACGTCACTGTTAACTGTTCCTTTGGCTGATGACAGATACACCAGTTTTGTACGTTTGGGTACACAAAGAAATATTATTCTCATACATACCATTGTCCTTTCATTTTTGTAGTGGCAGTGGCTCAGCCCGGTCATTGGTGATTTCTCTGGGTCTGAAAGATCATTCTCAGGTAAGATGGGAAAGTTAACTGTCTGTTTCTAGTAAAAGATTTGATGGTCTCGAGCCAATGTTATTTTCTCCAAAAACATGTTCTGATTTCTTAATCTGCAGGATCACAATGCGGATTAAAGTTGGTTTGAGGTTTCCAAACTCCTGGATATTATTAGAAGAAATGTTGACATTGAATAAAATTAATAGAATTAGTACTAGGCACTCTGCATAGTTCCCAGTTGAAATCATTAATGGTGAGTCTGATGGCAAAATGTATGTCTGACGAGTAACAGTTTTGCACTTTGCAGGGAACACTGAAGGATATCATTGTAGCTGTGATTGAGAATCGCCTTTGGTGATGATTGAATAGCTGACCTGGGCATGGGATTGGCATTATTCAGCCCATCGATAAAGATACTGTTTAGCATTGCGCAAGAGGAGCCATCGTTTACCATGTACTAAATTCTGGTAGTTTTGTAGTTAGACCTATCTGCTTGAATTAACAAAAGGTGGTTTTAAGCTGTGTCAGAATTTGATTGTCAACTCTCCCGCTAAACAAAAGGCATGGTACATTGGTATTCGCCATAGAACGTCAACTCAATGCGAGCAATTGGGTGCTTGAATAATACTGTAAGTACCTATTCGTATCACACGGTGGAGATTTAGGTTTGGAAATTGGAATAATCCAATCCAAGCAAGAAAATAGTCTATAACTAATTGTCGTAGACACAATCAAGTAGGAGTAGTAAGCGACAGTAAAATCACGAGTAGACTGTTCCTAAAAGGATCAAGGGTGGACTGAAAGATACGTCTCTCTACAGCTAGCTAGCTAGTAATATTCCGCCTTAATTGTTGTCTCCCTGCTGCGTCGGCGGCGGTTCGTCGAACGTTTGGCACAGCTCATCCATTGTGAAGTGGAATCTCTTGTCTTCAAACATCCACCCCAAGTCGAGATCCCACTCCGGCATCCCGATCCCGTCGTTGCTGTCTGCCGGAATCCTATCCTCCATCGGGGGAGGCATCCTCTCCTCTGGCTTAACGCAGTCTGCGAACTGGACGTGCTGCCCTGTCTCCGCCGTGGCGGTGGCGTCTTGCGAAGAGCGCGTGGCCCCGAAGTCACCGCTGGCTTCTTGCCCAGCGCCGCCGTGCGTCGCCGTCATAGGAGCCAGCTCTTGCGCCGACGGGCTCTCGGCAGCTGGCGGCGGCAAGCGCGTGGCCCCGGAGTGACTGGCTTGTTGCGTCGCCGGCTTCGCGGGAGCCTGCTGGTGCGAGGCTGGGTTCGCGGCAGCTGGCGGCACCGGCATCTGCGACGGCGCTGGCGGTCTCGCGAATTGCAATGACTGACGACCGGGCAACCCAGTGCCGGGCGGTCTCGCGAACGGGAACAACTGAGGACCGGGCATCCCGGTGCCGTACGCCGGCGGCATTGTCATGGTGCGAACCCGCTGGTGGGCGGCGCTGGGCGGCGGCGCGGCACCGAACCCGTACTGATGATGATGGTAGTACTGAGGATGCCCAACGTTGGGTATGTGATGCTGCTGCAGCTGCGGCGGCAGCATCCGTGAGGTCGAGGCGCCGGCGGCGAGTCGTTGGTTCCAGCCGGTGAAGATCCCGAACGACGGCTGGCCTGCTGGACACGGCGCCGAGAAGTGGCCGTCAGCAGCAGAGACGTTCGCCAGCGTCTGGTTGCTCCCGGCCCCGTCGTCGCTCTTGAGTTTGTAGAGGCGGTACAAGGCCAGCTCGTGCGACTGCATGCAGATCATCAAGAGTGACCAGTCAGTCAATCAATGTGTGTTTTGCGGTGTCAGAGAGAGAGAGAGAGAGAGAGAGAGAGAGAGAGAGAGAGAGAGAGAGAGAGAGTGGGAATACTGACATGTGTGGTCTTTGTAGGCTTGGAAAGCAGTCGCTGGTCTACGGGGACGGTGAACTCGTGCATGCCCCACTGGCTCTTGACTTGCCCGCCGTCACGATGATCGTAGAACACCATGGTCACCATCTTCCCGGCGACGAAGCCGCCCTTTTCTTTTGGCCAACGCAGCACATGGCCGCCGCCCGAGGGCTTCCACCCGCCGCCTTTGGCCCAGCGCACCGGCCGCGGCTCGTTGTCGTCCTCGTCTTGGCCGGCTCCCCGCTGCCTCTTTTTATGAACCGGACCACCGGCGGCGGCTCCGCCCGTCTTCTGGTACTGCCGCCAGCTGAAGAAGTAGATGTAGCGGTGCTCCTTGTCGCGCTCGTACATGTCTGCATGCATGCATGTTCTTGTTGGTTAGAGGTTGCTAGGATCGGAGCGAAATTAACTAAAGACGACGGCCGGCCGGGAGGGGAAGGGTCGATCGCTAATTACCGTGGAGCTCCTCGGGGTGGTGCTCGAGGATGCTGAGCTCGTGGAAGATGCCGGCCACCATGGGATGGAGCCGCCGGTCGTAGACCCTGTGTGAGAGGATGGTGATGAGCTCCAGGTGCGTGGGCACGAAGCGGAAGCCTTTCGGGAACCCGTGCTTCGTGAAACGCTTGTCTTCCGTCGTCGACGACGACATCGAGGTCGACGAGTCGAGTCGAGTCGCCGGAGAGGAAACAAGGGGTCTATTGTAATTCGAGTTGGAACATGGAAGCTCCCCCCGCGCGGCGCCTGTTTTATTTATATGTCGTCGTCGTTGCCGCCGCGGCGTCTCGTTTCGACTCCGACTCCTCCTCGGTATGTTGCGACACCGACATCAATTCGTTTGTGATTCTATTTTCTATTAATTTCTTATCTTTACTATAATGAACCAGTCAAAATTATACTAATCTCTTCACGAAAATGTCGCTCGCTGAGAGCCTCTAACGACAACTGCGCACTCAAAAAAATACACATAAAAATTTCAGCATCATTAAAATCAAGAGCTAATCAAACACCTTAACCAAATCCAATGACCGTGATTCGACGTGGGATGCGAGGCTCGGCACCCCGCCTTCTCACCCCCGCAACCTGCTCGCACTTCAAATCCTCCGTCGATTGTCCCGTCCGAGAAGAACCGTAGAAATCTGCCGCCGCTTGTTTCATTCACCGTCGGCGCCGTGCGAACGGCAATAATCCCCACCCCGTGGATCCGCCGCCCCCACCCCCACACCCCAAATCCTGTGGTCTTGTGGCTTGTCAGATCCGCCATGGCGATGCGATAGCAGGGGACGAGGACGATGGCGCAATGAGACTCCAGGCGGTGATGCTCTAACTTCTGGTGCCTCCCATCTGATTTAATCAGTAGTATCTAATCCCCTATTTGTGTTGTCGCCTTTTGAATCTAAATACAACAGAAAATCCTCGATCCGTTCGCAGGCTCAGACTCGAACCAGGTGGGGATTCATCCATCCACCATCGGCAAGGAACATCCTGGTTCCGCGGGCGGCCCTTGCCATCCATTTACCAGTGCATGGCGTTGCATCTGCTCATCATTCGAGCCAGTGGATACTGGATCCAAAGGTGAGCAACCGCTCAAATCCACCTGACTAATGGCTGAATACGAGTCTTTCTTTCTATCCCCGTACATGGATATGGTATTTGCTCCCAGTTTTCTACTTTCAGCCTGATTCATTGGTGAGATCCAACAAATATGTTTTAGATCTTTTTTGTTTGAACGAACACCTTTGTTTCAGATCTGATCGTGATATAGCTCATCATAATATTTTGGCTAGACTGATGAGTAAAAATTGTTATTGCATATCACGAGATGATAGTTCATTTTAGATCCAACACAATACATGCACCTGTACATGCTATTTAATTATTGTAAATTTGTTTGTCGTAAATCAGAGAGAAATTTACTATTTTTATTAATTTGCTTTGGGTTCTGTATCTCTAATAGGTTCTTTTATCAGAGCCGACGACTAATTAAACTGTATGGGATCGGAATGGAATCTTGATTTTGTAGGAGACTAACCTGAAATTTTCCTCCGCTTCACTTGGTCAGCAGCAGTGGATCCTCTGTTGGTAAGTAGTAGTACTCCTTCTCATGGAGTGATTTTTTTTATTCCTCACACTTTCGTGGGTATTGAAAATTGATTCCTCATCAGCAAGAGTAGTATGGATTTTTAGTCCATTTCAGTTGACTCATACATATTATTGCTTCACTGCAGATCAACTTTATTAGTGTTTTTTGCTGCTCTGGTTAAGCGTGAAGATTTGGGAATTGTTGCAGTGACCATACCATCTGAACAATTTTATGCCATGGCTGGATATGCGGTTTTCATCTGTTCATAATATAAAATTCTCATAAATATTATTAGCTCAAATTTTTGTAAATATTATTAGTATTGTCGATTGCCTTGATTTGTTTGATTTGATCCATGTATGCAGAAAAATTCTGATTCCATTAGGTTCTATCATTTTGCTTGATTTTATCCGGATATAAATATCTCTACTATAATGGACCAGTCGAAATTATACTAGGTTTTCTCACGAAAATGTCCCCCGCTGAGAGCCTCCGACCATTGCGCACTCAGAAAAATGCACACAAGAATTCAGCACCATTAAAATCAAGGGCTAATCAAACACCTTAACCAAATCCAATGGCCATGATTTGATGTGGGATGGCAGGCTTCTCACCCCGCCTTCTCACCCCCGCAACCTGCTCGTACTTCAACGCGGTGTCCACCATTCAACGCTCCATCGAAACCAATCATCATCACCGAAACAAAAAAAAATGATGTTTGATCGCCCGCGCCCATGCCCTTCGCGGAGGCGAGGAGGAAGCCATGGTGCCTGCTGTTAGCGTCTCGATCGCCCGCGCCCACGCCCTTCGCGGAGGCGAGGAGGAAGCCGTGGTGCCTGCTGTCGGCGTCCCGATCGCCTGGGCCCACGCCCTTCGCGGTCGGTGCTGCGGAGGAAGCCACGAAGGGGAGGACGAAGCTGTGCCGATCGCCCACGACCTTCACGCGTGCGAGTGCGAGCTTCATATTTTCCCCTGCGGTCGGCCTGCGCCCCTTCATATCCCTGCTTTGTTGTGCTTCGTACATACGCATAGCGGTGGCGGCGGCCGGTGGCACCGCGGCAGGCGCTGGACGACGAGAAGCACTACAGCAGCACACGTGAGTCACTGAGTCCTCTGCAGTACATCTCAAAATCTTCATTTAGGCTGTTTGTTTAGTCATGTTTCTATTTTTGTCTCCCAATCTCTTCTAGCCTCCTAGGGCTAGAGACTCACGCATCACACATTAGCTGTGGGTGTGGCTCACGCGTAGGGTGCAGCAAGCAAGCTAACGCTCAGTTCGGGCCGCCATAGCAACATCAGGTCCTCATTGGTTCCTGATACTTATCACCGTCGAGTGGACGGCAGTGGGCGCCCGCGACGGCGCGATCCCTGTCACCGTCGGCGACATTGTCCAGGTACTTAATTATAATAATTATAAGTGCAAATCTCTCAGATATCCCATGAATATTAGTCACTAAAATTTGTAATAGCATCTTCAGAAATAAAAAAAGCAGAGATTACATAAAGCACCGTAACTATTTTTATCGTCTTCATCTGGTATACTTAATTAAAAAAATACTAGATGCATATTATTCACGGGTACTAGAGATTACATGATGCTGAATACTAGCTTTGGCTATCTGTACGAGGCGCAGATCATCCACCATTACATGATACTATCTTGGTATACTTAATTAAAAAAAACTAGATACGCCAGTGCTATCGCAGGCCACTAGCGTGAGGAAATCCTGCAGCCCGCCGCTACTACCCGCTGAAGATCCTCGCGGGTACTTCGCAATGTCTACGCCCGGAGATACACGCGATGCGCTAAGCGATATCACCAACATCGCAGGTATGCTTTTGGTATGTATTTATACAACACTTTTGGGTGTCTTTGTGATTTCCAATATATATCCAACCGCCCACTTTAGATGACACCTCGCAGAAGAGGGAAGAAAGAAACATGCAGCAATGGATTCGTCGAGCTGAGATGTCCAGCGAACAAAGAGAAGAAATGAACAGGAAAAAACGTGAATACATGCGTGACTACCGAGCACGGAAGAAGGATGCATCCCAAAATAATAGCACTTCCTATGCTTTGACTGAAATAATGCCCACAACAACACCCATAGTTACTTAATCTCTTCGATACTTTCTTTTTTTCTATATAATATAAAACTAACTTTTGTAAATATATGAAGGTACTAATTACTCTGAGATGGACCAAATCACGTCAATTATATTGGACAAGGAAAATATCCCACTAGATGCACATAGAAATGATATACATGTTGGCATTGGCACAGCGACCACAGACACAGGTATACTTTGAGTTAATTAATTAATTAATTAAGTATTAGTAACTTTCTTTTTTCTATATAATATAAAAACCAATTTTTGTACAACTGACAAAAATATATGCAGGCACTAATTATTCTAAGATAGACCAAATCACACTAATTATACGGGACAATGAAAATATTCCACTAGATGCACACGGGAATCATAACCATGTTGACATTGGCACCACGACCACAACAGGCAGTGCACTATCTGTGGCCAACGGTAAAGATCACCTAAGTAACTTTAAGTTTATTGTGTAAAAATAACTTATTTTAATCTCTACTATAATATATGCCTGGCCCTACAAATGAGACCTGCAGACATAGCTAATGATAAGATGGATGAAAGGAATGTGCAACAACGGAAATAAAGAGCTGAGATGACCGACGAACAAAGGGAAGATAGTAAAAAGAGACACCGGGAGTACCAACGTCAATACCGAGCATGGAAGAAGGTTGAATTGCAAAATATTAGCACCGCAGCTGTTGTGGCTCAAATAGGGCTGGCATCCTCACCCACAGGTGAGAAATATCTACAACCTATGCATTTCGTCCACCGCCTGATATATCATGAACCTCCGTTCATATGTCAAGGTGCGAATTTTGGAACTGAATTATCGACTCTAGTGGAAAATGACAAGTCAGCAGAGCCCACAGATTGGCTACACAAAAATGATAATTATGTGCCAGGGCGTAGAGGCCCACGTATGGATCTTTCTCGACCATTTCCTACTTCCGGCGAGGCAGGTCAGCACATCAACCACATCCTTGATTTTCTCTATTAACAAAATAAAACCATCGTCATATTTTTTATTGTGCTTATATATATTATATATCTATGCAGAATTTTATTTGCATCAGCTGCGTGGCAACCATGTAAGTGGTGACAACTAGGGGGATGAATTCGACTCTGAACTATTCGAACCAACACATAATGGAGAAGACGGTGACGAAGCTGGCATGGACGCCAGCCTTGGATGCCAGCCATGCATTGCACAATGAAGACTTATACGATGATGATGGAAACATTCATTGACATACGCAAGGTACCACAATGACATCTATATGTCATCTCTGATTTCTTGAGTGATTATATACGTCTTTACATGAAGCATATATTTATCTCTATTATATAGCAAAAGTGCTCAAGTGCTGACCTAACATGGAGTACAAAATTAAAGATTGCAACAACGTAAGACACGTTCAGTGTACTCCTTTATATTTTATATTATATTTTATATTTTATTT